TAGGATCGACTCCAAGAGGTGTTCTCAGGACTGACACACATTGTGTCCACGCCGTCGGGAACATATCCAAGTCAGGAGCAAAAGTGTGCAACCAAGGAGATTCAAACCAGTATCCAGCTGACGCCATGTGTGAAGGTGTACCGATTCAGGTAAAAGTCAATCGACGGATACCTTGCGAATCAGGTCCTCCTTAACCCTCTACATGAATATTAAACCAATACGAAGTACAACAACATATATATGTAGGACTTATTTCTACTGTCATTTACATCGTAAAAGTATCTCCTCTTCAACTTACCAATGACAATCCTGATGGTATCCTATATGCGTTCGTAAGCTTGCTAAAATACTATACTGCNAAGATATTGTCCAGAACCGTACTTCTGCCTTGGAGGAAGCGCGAAGAGACATGGGAGTCAACATCCACATGACTGATCCTTGCGTCCATTGCGGTGCGAAACTGTTCGCCAAAGAATCGAAGGGAATTCTTTTGGTCCTCCTACACTGCCTGCTAACCAGAACAACGTGCGACGCGACCAGCTTTTGGCCGCTCTCGCCCCGACGAACTTGGGGCCGAAGATCCCACCAACTTCGACTTACAAGACCGTGTTGTCCGGGCACAAGGTGGTTTCCTTCGAGTTGGTTTGCGCCTTGCAATCGATTGAAGGAGTTTACCCCGTCCTCATACGTATTGCCCGCACCGGCTCCATCGTTCGCATGAAGTGCGGCCGTGGTACGCCACCTTGTAGTGCCACCTGCAACCTGTCGATGGGGCTTCCTTTCACCTGCGGCGACAAGTTTGGCCAACATGTACACCACGACTATGATGTCATCCCGACGTTGTTCACCGTCGTACCCGCGCACGGCGCGGAAGATGTCGGTCCCTCCACCACTGGTGGCGCCATAATTGGATCTGCACTATCTATTGGAACCCAGGTTAGTGCATTCTTTGGCCTTTGTTCTGTTCGACCAAACATTTTTTTAAATGTCCCCCATTCAGACTTTTCTTGTGGCCACCGCGATTTCCGTGTGATAAATCCGGTGCAGAAAAAAAAAAAAACACGACCTAAATAGCCAAGAATGAGACCGCATCCACAATAACTACAATACCTACAAAAACAACGACCGCAACAACAACAACGACGCGTCGCCACAATGAAGCTCACATTGATTTAATAGGCCCCCCTCGCCGATTTGACACCACTACCCCTTTCGTGCTTTCCCTTCAATTTCCCTCTCAGGTTCTTGAGGAGATTATACGTTGCGATGGCGAGGCATACGTCAAACTGGATGCTGACCGTCAGAAACTTCGATCGTCTTTCCTGCTGGACACCACCTACCTCGCTGCGATCGAAAAGAAGCGTTGGTTCAACCAGACGCGTTGGGGTTACAATATAGTCGCCATGACTTCGGACGACGACGTTGTGAAACGAGCGCTCGCCTTTACCAACGAAACCATTGATTTGTCCGGTGGAGGATCATCCGACGGAATCAAACACAAGCGCGGCGCCTCTTCTTAGGCCAAAAAACGCCGTTCAACCCAATCGACCGACGACAACGGCATCTCCGATTCCGTCATCGACGACGTCGAGCACATAAGCTCCGACGAAGACTCCGACGAGGACTCCGACGAGGACTCCGACGGCTCCGGGAGCAACAACGACAGCGACGAGTGACTGCTTGTTTTCGAAAAATCCTTTGATTTTCTTCCTCAGATGGTTTTCCGTCTTTGGCGTTTTTCACGGAACGGCTTTTTGCTATGCCTTTGTAATTGTATCTGCTCGTAGCCTTCGGATATTATTGTATGATTATTGTGACATCGTGTGTCCGTAATTACTATCAGTTCATCGACGACGATATTAAGTTTAGACGACGTTGGTGTTGCACATTGCTCGTAGACAGGGTTGATGAAAGCAATGTTATTTATTTTCGAATGATAGATCCTGAAATCCTGCATAATGACTGTGTTCGAACCGACCTATCATCTTCTTACCTAGCTAGATGCTTTTCTTCATTGAAGGCGCTTTCCACAGGAGACTTTTCTGTTCGATATGTTCGTGTGCCTGTCTTTACTATTACTCACCAACTACTATATTAAAGTTAGACCCCGTTGATGTTACACATTATTGCCTGTAGACAGGATTGATGGGAGCGATGTTCTTTGATTTTGTTTGGTTATTTTCACACAACGAGCCTACTCAACGATGTTTCCTCCCGTGGAAACGTTCGGCCCCACCTAACAGCCTACGATCCATCTTCAAGACATTAAATGTTCTGTTTCTCTGATTCTAAAAACTTCACGACTCCGAGTTTCAACCTTGACCCTGCTCGCGAAGCTAAATATGGTGGCCGCCCGCCCTACTGGGGGGCGGGGGGCCAATCGTTCCCCCTAGTAACACCGATAGGTGAGACAACATTGTTACCGGCGCGGAAATGAACTAAATATTTTCGTTCTAGATTTCCAACGCACCCCCGGTGCGACGAACTCCCATGGGTGCGATACGGAAGAAATCACGGTGGCCATTTTTGAATCTTTTCTTCACCTACACGTCGACGGAACCATACATTGTACTTCGAAGTACAAAAATAATGGGATGGCGCCCCAATTGAACCTGCCGGCACCCTCACAGCCGTTCGTCACATGCAGTTCAAAACGTGGCCCGGAGGGGACCGGTACCTTGCGGAAGGGCGGGTTTCTATGTCCTAAGCAGGGTTTATATCATTGATATCGCACCGGGTGCGTGGACACCGATACCGGTGCAAACATGCATTTCCGTGTTGTGTATCATTCATTTCTTGCTTTTTTCGCCCCCCGGTCCCATGACAACGATGAACGCAAAATCAACAATGGGTGCCATTACACGCACTTTTTCGGTACTGGCACACAACAACAGGTGTTTACTGTCAACTCGGTCTCTCGTGTGTCTCCTGTTTGTCAGCTGCTCGATGGGGTGTGCACGCCCATCTCTCTGTGCCGTCAGTAGTAGCCGCGGGTGTTGCCCGGCGCTGTGCTCATCGACGCTCGCTGTGCCTCTCTCGCACAGCACCACCACAACCGAACCGAGAGAGACACAACCATACGTTCTTCTCCTCCGCTTCGGCCGGTAGCTAAGAAAGGTTGTGAGGTCACACTCTCCCGTCGCTTTCCTCTTCTTTGATGTGTGCCTTCCTTCATCCTCCTGGTCCTCTTCTATGTCTCTGTCATTGTCTTGGTAAGCATACCAGCAGCAAGTTAGCAGCAGAGAGAACCTACACTACCTGGTTCCGAACAAACAAACGCCTCCTCTTCTCTCAATGGGGACTTCCCAATCCGACATCAGTTCGGCACACATGCGTTGGTAACTCGACGCACTCAGCGCGGATTGAGCGCAAAGTAGTCGTGGCGGTTCGGGTAAAATGCTACTTGCTGGGTACAAGTCTTTGACTGGAAAATTGGTGCCTAGTTTGTGAAATGGGCTGCAGCCTTGAGTCGTAATAGATGCATGCACGACAGGACAGACACACCTGGTCTGTTTTTCACGCCTACTGCTGTGAGGTGTTTTTTCCCCACGTACATCATCTGCACACGATCTCTCTAAAATTGTCTTGAATGGCAACGTGCAGAAGCCACCCCTATCGGTGTTGCCCTGCAGAACAGTAGATGTAGTGTTCTGGGAAACGTTTCAGCTTTCCTCCACGCTTCCTGGCTCTACAGAATTTTAATTGTCGAGCAACGCGATGCACTATTGGTTCTCTTTCACTGGCGTGGGGCCGCGACTCCATAACTTGTCTTTGACGTGCTCGCGACCATTTGTTGTGTCGCCTAAAAGCAACGGCTGTGCAGCGCACGATTTCGTGATTGAGTGTTCGTGGGTCTGCGAACATTGTTGTTGGATACATGTGCTGGATGATTTTGTGTCACGCAGACTGGTAAGATAACCGTTTGATAGGGGGCACCGCGATGATTCACGGGGGCCCTCCTTGCTGTGGGAGCCGCTCTTTGAGCACTCCCTCTTTCGTCCGTGTGAAGGACGGTCGTCTACCTCTCGTGAAGTTAATACGTCACCCACCCGATAAATAAGTGGCGTAGGCCGCAATCACTCCAGAGTTTGCCCCTCGAGGGAAGCCACATCGGGATGAGCTCTGCTGGAGACGAAGAGCGCGCTGCTGCAAGCGGAGAACAGATCCGCCCGCCGGTGCAGGAGGGCAGTGACCCGGAGCTTGCAAGTTTGCAACGGCAGATTCCGCAATTGGCGGCCCTGGTGGAGGATTCGGCGAAGGAGAAGGAGCCTGGCAGCGTCGTGGCGGATGCAGCCAGTAGGGGTGGCTGGGTTGCCATGGACACTCTCCAAGGTTTTTGGTGGGAAATTTCTTGTTGAGAGAAGCAAGCAACTCCTCGCAATCCTCGTCAGACCCAGCCACCAAAATGTCATCCACGTAAATCACGTTAATACATCACCAAGACAGTCTCACCCGATAAAAAAGTGGCGTGGGCCGCAAACACTCCAGAGTTAGCCCCTCGAGGGAAGCCACATCGGGATGAGCTCTGCTGGAGACGAAGAGCGCGCTGCTGCGAGCGGAGAACAGATCCGCCCGCCGGTG